ACCACCTAATCAGGAGCATGCCCAGGCATTGTAGGGAGGTCACACAGGCATGTGGAGGCCACACACACTACTGAGCCTCATTTTGACTTGTTTTCAGGACATTACATCAAAGTTGGATCAGCCTGTAGTGTTTTTTTCCACTTTAATTTTGAGTGTAACTCCAAATCTAGACCTCCATGGGTTGCTAAATTTGATTTCCATTGATAATTTTTGTGTGATTTTGTTGTCAGCACATTCAACTATGTAATGAACAAAGTATTTAATAAGAACATTTCATTAATTCGGATCTAGGATGTCTTATTTTTGTGTTCCCTTTATTTTTTTGAGCAGTGTATATATGTATGTATGTATCTATATGTGTGTGTGTGTGTGTGTGTGTGTGTGTGTGTGTGTGTATGTATGTATGTATGTATGTATATATATACAGTATTTTATATATATATCTTAACAGACCATCAATGGCAAAAATGACTGGAGGGAAAAGCCAAGTCTTAAAAGCTTTCTAGAAGAAAATAAAAACAACACGTCTGCAAGTTATACACACATTTACATCCACATCCAATCCACACACACACCTTCCGCTCTCTCTTACACACACATATGGTAGAGGCAAGCTTGGCAAATGCTCACCTCATCACTCTTATCAAGATTGAATAAAGAGGACCTGGAGTAAGTCCAGCCTTCTAATATAGAAGAATCTCTTGTAAAACAGTTTCCAGGTATGTTATCATTAAAAAAAATTAATGCTGTGTACTAAATGTACTTGTCATTTTGTCAGGGAAATATCTGTGATAGCCACAGACAAAACCTGACTGAAACAATCACAGCAACACAAGTTTCATGGAATATTTGGCATGTGTGTTATACATATGAATTTTTATTATAATAGCAAAGAGAAGAGGAAAGAAGAAAAATGTTGCAAGGAAAAATAAAAAATAAAGAGCAAATAAAAAAGGGCCGGCACATTATGCAACAAGGTCACATAGTGGGTTAGGGACTTCTGTCCTCACTGTGAGTTGTGTTGGGGGGGAGTGCATGAAGGGGCTCAGTCAATCTCATTGTACACATGTAGTATTCTGACAATAAAATAATAATAGAAATAAAAATATAATAAAGAGAAAATAAATATACAAAGAAGTGACTTCCAACTTTCATTCCAAATAGTATAAACAACGTGACTCCTTACCCCCCACCACATTACAAACAATTATCTCTTCAGAACCATAAGATTGAAAACTATTCACTGAGTGAGTTTATCTTCAATTTTGAACAAAAGAAAAAGTAATTATAAGCTTAAGAATTTAAAGAATCTGAAATAAATAGCAAAGGAGTAAATAAAAATTTGATTTTAAAAAGTTATAAATGAACTAAGAGTCCAGATAAATTTGGAATATTGAAACAATAAGATTTTGGAATTAATTATAAAGAACACACAGCTTACAATAAGAAATCTGTTTAGGTTTTTGGAAGGTACAGCAGAGATAAGCAATTTCATGATTTGAAAACTGGACATTATTGAGGATTAAAGATGTTAAGTAAAGAAAAAAGATACAAGTCTATAAAATCCATGTTTACAATAGATTTTTACAATGAAGTATTTTTACAATGAAAGTGCTGAAAGAGATTTTGGAACAATGCAGTCAGAAATTAGTAGCCACAATATTAACAATGTCAATCATGTTATTTGCTTCAATAGATAGGTTATACTGTAGATGTTATTAGAAATGAGAAATGTAGAACACATTTTATCTGACAAGATAAAGATGATATCAAAAGTAGATTTACAACTGACAGCTCAATGATTTGAAAAAATAAGATTCAATGGATCTATTTGTACTGGTCTTTGACCGTAATAAACACCTGACTGACACTGGATCTACAAAAGAAATTGGCTGAAGTTTTAAAAGGGGAATACAAATGATAATCCAAAGGAGTATCCTAGACAATTTTCCTATTATATTTACAAAGAATCTTGTTAAAGCATTGAAGAACACTATGCAATAGGACAAAGAAGAAATGAAAAGAAATCAAATTCTACCACAATATTGGAATGAACTAAAAATTAAGTCTGTTAGAAGTACAGCTGGTCTTCAACACACAACCATTCATATAATGATTGTTAAAAGAACTGGAAAAAGTTCTTTACTTATGACCTTCATAGCATTCCTGTAGTTGCGTGGTCAAAATTCATGTACTTGGTAACTGGTATGTATTTATGATGGTTACAATTTGCTGGGATCATGTGATTGATATTTATTCCCTTCCCAGGGGGTTCTGGACAAGCAAAATTAATGGAAGGCTGTATTTGTTTAATGATTGCATGACTCACTTAACAATTGTGGTGATTCACTTAAAGACAGCAGCAAAAAAGATTGTAAAATTGAGCATATGCTGTCCTGTGCTTTCCTTGTGAGAAGCAGCTATCCAGAACACATATGGACAAACTTCCATTGTCTCCTTATCAGTAATACTTCCAAGGAACAAATCTATTCACTGGTTTCTTGATCTTTCCTGAGTTTGTTGGCTCTTTTTTTCAGAATCATCTTCAATTTACCATACATACCTTGGAAACCTGATCTTCAGAGCTAATCTTGAATACTGAGAACAATATTCAATAGACATGAATACTGAACTGGTTTAATTAAACATGTGGTCAGTGACCAGATTTGGTCAGTGACCATCAATCTGTTTTAATGAATGTGGAGCAGTGGGTTGCATTAGAAAGCTTTTTCTGCTCATGGAAGGTCATGACATGGTCACAGTGGTTTTATCTGCTAGGCAGATGTAAACTGTTTAGTAGTCACAATGACATGACACAATCACATGATCCTCAACAACTGCTAAACTAATCATTATCTATAATAAATCTAGCAATAATGCAGACAGCAACATTGTAGTCATGGTATGAGATTTTTTTTTAAAAAAGGAAATGGGTAGACGAAGGATGAAAAGCTAGGAGTATTATTCAAGACATCCCACTGTTTAAAGGAAGCACTAATAAAATACCAAGAAGTTGCCAAAAATATCTTGCTGCAATACTTTATACTTCTTTCCACCAAATTATAATTGTGCAACAGCTCCCCCCAAAAGCATAAGCAATGATAGAGTTCTATCTTGTAAAAATAAGACAAAATTTGCCTTCTGTCTTCATTACAACGAATACTTAATGGGAGACTGTGAGAAAAATCCTAGGATGTGTTATACATTTGAACAAAAATATATGACAACATAGAAGGCAAAAGTTCTCTGAAATTTAGCTTAATTTGTGATTACTGTACCCAAACATATACATATAATGTTCTCAGAAATGTATAAAGGATTTGCTGTTGCTTTCTCTGATTTCTTGATTTTCTAATCTAGGCTACAATCCTAGGATTTTTCTCATAGTCTCCCCATCTAAGTATTAACCAAATATTACCCTGCTTATTTTTTTAAGATAAGCCAAAGTCACTTGTTACTGCCATCTACTGAATCCTGAATTAAAAAGAGGTCTGTATAAGGCATGATTATTCTGTGTATAATTTGTATTCCTATAGTTTTAATGCTCTATCAGTTCTTTCAGCCAACTATCCATGTGTTTCACAGCCTGATGATAAATCACTGCTACTTATCAATATTGTTAGTATGTAAAACAGCAGCACCACTATCTGTCCATTATTATGCAATGCTCATAGCTACTGGTATGTTTTATTGCAAAAAAGGCTCCCAAGTTATATGCGGCATCCAACTATAACTTTTTAAAGCAAACAAAAGAAGGCACAAAGTATTCAAATTAAATAGAGAATGTTACCTACATAAATAGGTCCATATTTTAGTCTATTTGAAGTAAACATGTAGGCTTGACTTGACTAATTTCCATAAATTTAAAATAAAATTATCTTATTCCATAGTGAAAAAGACTTAAGATTAATCCACATATTAAAGATCAATTCTCAAACAATATGGGAAATTGCCATCCTATCTAGTGCCAGAAACTGAGATTTTCAGATTTTAAAAAGTTTCAAAAATACATGTAGCATTACTTGTAAATTATTTATAAAATCCATTTTTTCTTATTGAGAGTAAGATAAAAAGATTTATTCATTATTTTGAGTCTTACAAAGTTGAATGTTATGTAACATGATTTTAAGAGTCAATTATAAAATTCTTGTAGTAGTAATTACATATCTATTCAGGTGTTCAAGTGTGGTAATATTGCTGTGAGGCAAAGTAGTTTAGCTAGCTAACAATAGAATGAGAAATTTGAAGGGTCCCATATTTTATTTTTGTTTTTTTCCTAGTTATATGCAGAGAAACTAAAAAGGTAAAAGCTAACATAAAAGATATACTACATTAAATATAAAATGCCAAGTAGATAGGCACAAAGAGAGCATTGTTAAATGCCTGAGATAATTGTAGCCCACAAGCAAGAATATTACGTAACTTGAATTCTACCGTAGTCATTTCTGATAGTCATTTACCTAAGTGCATTGGACCACCAAAGATGAACGAAAGAGATAGTTAGGCATATTTGGGAGGGGATGTTTTAGAATCAGTACTTGGACCTCCAGATAATACCAGTTCTTTGAACTAGTCCTAGAAGAGACTGAGAGCCAGCCACTGCAGCTTGTAAAGTTCTAGCATTTCAAAAAATATTGATTAATCTAAGCTAGTAACCTAATAGCTTTAGTTTAGCTAATTGCACTTTTCAAACTATTTTTAATAATACAATATATTAAAGAAATCCCAAGAGATTATAAGAAAAGATAAATGATGTTGAATGTCCGTCTATCTATTATCTATCTATCTCCATTATTTATTGACCTATCGTCTGTATGTTTATCTTTCTTATCTATCTCTCTGTCTGTCTCTCTGTCTGGCTATATGCCTGCCTGCCTGCCTGCCTGCCTGCCTGCCTGCCTGCCTGCCTGCCTGCCAGCCAGCCCGTCCGTCCATCCATCCATCCATCCATCCATCCATCCATCCATCCATCCATCCATCCATCCATCCATCCATCTTACCTTTACCACTCCATTTTCATGCATGGTAATGCAATTGTTGGGATCCTCTGACAGTTGATACAGTGCTTGTGCAGTAGCTCGGTGAACTTCTGGATCACTTGATTTCAGGTAACGTACCAAAGGGGCAACAGCTTTGGTATCTCCAAAACCAATCCTGTTACTTCCCCACATGCAGCAGCGAGAAATCGCATCAGCTAAATGCCGCCTTAATTTGTCATTGTTCTAAATCAAGAGGAAAAATATATTATAATAAAAATGCATCCCATGATGTCTTAATGGAAGACACTTCATATAACAGCAACTATTAAAAATATGAAAGGAGGTTAAAAAGAAAAAAGATTGGTTTCTTTGTTCTCAATGCTCTGTTGGTTATTAACATCAGTTTTTTTAAAAAAAGATTAGGACCTCTGAACAATTATATTTTTATGGGAGTATGCAGATTCTGAAATAACATTTTATGTTTAACTGCAAAAGAAATATAAAATATAACATCATACAGTGTATTCCAAAATATTAGCAACAAGGTTTTACTTACTGTATTTGCTAATTTGGATAATAAAGGAACAACACCATGATCTGTTATAACAGCTAAATTCTCTTCGTCTTTTGCTATGTTGGTGATTGCAGCACACACACTTGCCAAAACTTCTTTACTTTCAGATTTTAAAAGATTAACAATTAGTTCCAAACCACCAACAAACGAACGAACCATTTCACCAGCATCCTAAGTGAAAATAAGACAAATTATAAAAATTTATTTCTGTGAGTAATTTTCAAAATTGTAACTAAATCTCAGCAAATAGGGATGACATAAATATCTTCTTCGTAGATGACCAGGTTTTTCTAGCATGATGGCAGAAATAATTATTTTCTATCTTCAAAAGTATGGTAGCTCTATGTACTTCATAATGACACCTCTGGGTTACGTGTGATTTGTGAGACCAGATCATTAAAGCTACTGCTTTTCAAATGAACATACCATGAAAAACATACTTATCTGCCAAAATTTTAAAGTGTTGTACTTTTTTCATGTTTCAGAATCATAATTTTACATCTCATATTGGTCCGAATTCTTATAAACTAAATGCTGCTTTGAAAAGGTACACTGTTTATAAACATTATATCCTTACAGATAAAAGCATACCAAAAAAGATCAGTAGTATTTTCCATTTGGAGCATCTTAGAAAGCTTAAGATGTCAAAGCCAATTTATCAACTCTGGTTGCTTTTGCCCAAAAATGTGATGGTGTGGCTGTGCAAATAAACCTGAGTTACCAAGAATCCTCTATGGACTATGGTTTCTTCTGGAGAACCTGTCCTTGTCTGATTCCACTGCCTACCATTTTAAAGGAAACCATTTTAAAGTCCATTTACAGGGGGATAGGAAAAGGAGAAAATTCAGTATGTCTTTTCTGCATTTCATAAAAAACTGTTGAATGAGAAAATGAGCTTATAGCATACAGTAAGTAATTAATATGTGAGCCAACCATTTTGGAAAAGACTATATATACACCTGAGGAATGTAATTCTGAAGCAATATTTTGTTAGTTCAGACTGATGCCATACAAAATGAGCTCTATAATGAAGGTTAATATTGTCTACCTGTAAAGACTTCACCATTATGGAACATGAATACATATGGTTTAATTATAATGCAAACAATATAGTAAATATTTATGTACAATTATAGGGAAATATTTTATGTTTCATTAAATTTAGTATAACTGCCACAGATCAGAACAACACATATTCATTCTCATGTCCTTAAAATTATTATTGTTGAGTAATAACAGCTAGAAATGAATATACTAATCTTGTTAATTTAATGCATTTATTGTCTGTGCCAAAGCTTGCAAAAGCTAACTAATGTATCCTAAATAATGTACAATAGATTTTTTTAATGCAATGGTTCTAATAAAATCATGGAAATTAACACAAAAATATTGGCAAATGAAATATACACATACATAGATATTTATGTATAGCAACTCTGTAATATTAGACCAGATTATTTCTAACAATAGTAAGAACATAAGAAGAGATTTGGTGGTTAGTTAACACATATCAGATACTTAAAAACTTAAATGTAATGGGAGCTTTACATTTCAGTCACATGGGGACAGCAAGCAAGAATAATAATAAATAATTTGAAGTCAGATAAAGTATATTTATTATACTTGTATTATACAATAATAAGAATCTTCTCTGATCAGAACAATTATCTCCTTCTTTCAATAGTATAGAAGTATAATTATCTGAGATGCTAAGAACCCAAAGAAAAATTAATATCCTTATCTTGAATTCCTTCATGAAAAGTTTTAGTAGCTATTTATTCACAAACAAAAATATAGTTCTGTTTTCCCCTAACTCCACTGTAGATTTAGCACATATGCTTTTAATAATTTTAATAGCTGAAATGTGTATTTCTTTCATAAGATTTAGTAATCAATTACAAATTCATTACATATTCTACTTGTCAATTACAGGTGCCCAGACTGTCAAGCATAGCTCTTCTTACCACAAATTAGATCTTCATTTATAACTTTTTGAAGTATTGAAGATTCACAAAATTAAAGTTAATCAAAGTAACTGTTAAAACTGTTTTGTATATGCAGAATGTGATAAATGTCTTTATTGTCTTAAATAAAGGTCTTTTTAAAATATCTATCAGATTGCTATCCATTTTCTGTGCAATTAAAAGTGTCTGAATCATTTTGGAACCTATCAGTCTTTGTTTGGGACCAACATGGCAACCTTCTTTTAACAAGGCAGACTTTGTAATCCTTGAATGTTTTTTATGTTTACATTATTCACCACAGGGAATAAGTAGTATCATGACTACAAATTGACTTTCCAATATCAACATAGCTCAGAACACTTTTCACTGCAATTCTTCATAATTATTTGCTTAGATTGGCTAATATACTTCCACTCTGTCACAGCAATTACTTCTACCGTTATGGTTTGTAGCTATTGAATTAACCAGCTAATTAATCTAAATCTACTTCTGTTAAGAAGATTCTGTTGCCTCAATACTGCTCTTTAAGCACACACACACGATTAATTCTGATATATACTTTACCACTGCAAAAAAACAATCATTAGCACCATACCGGAACAACATTTGCCGTGATATACAGAAATGCTCTTTTATTGCCCATGCAGCATGCCTTGTAATTCTTCAATGCCCCAATGCAGGCAGCCAAGGTACACCTGGATCTGCTTGACTGTGATGAAAGAGGAAAGCTTCCTCATAAACACAAAGTATCATTTATTGTAACACTGGCTCTATTCCCTAGTCTGACATTAAGGAAGTAATCTTGTAAATTATTTGCCTTAATCTTAGCATCCAATAACTTCTACACGTCAACTCTGCAACTTTCCATGTTTTCTATATAATCCTGCATTCAAAGCTCTGAGATCTATCAGTTCTGTAACATTGTGTGGGATGGTAATAAAGTCTTCCAAAGATGGTTCATTTTCAAATATGAATCAGCATATGATAATTACATAAAAATTAAAAAGAGAGACAAATTATGACAACTAGAGATCTACCAACTCCCGTGATTTCCCATGGAGTTATGCACACACTCTACATTCTTTAAAATATCAAAGAAAATTAATAGGGCAATTCTGTTACAGTTAAGTCATTTGATATAGTGCAAAAGGAAGCTGTTTTTCTTTCTTTCTGATACTGAAAAAGTATCTCTCTCTAGCATTGCTAGTATCTTCATAGAGTAGAATAGAATAGATAGAGTAGGACAGTATCAGAAATGACAAAATTCAGAAGAAGCATAAATTTTATTCTCTATTTAGTCTATTTAGGAGTTGAGGGATATTGGAAAATATAAACATTATATTCCTTGCTTAGTTATCAGTTCAGAGCTCTAAAAATAAAGAATATCATACATGTTCTGCTTACTACGCTCTGGATGGGTATAAAGCAGACAGAGCAACTCCACAAAGCATCCATATAAAGTCTTTTTTATTGGTTCATCAGGCATCCTTATCAACTCACAGTTATGACAAGGTTGTTCTTAATGTCCAATCCTTTGCATATCTGCATTATCGTCTAGAAAGATAATAAACTCTCATCCCCATGATGACTGAAACGGCTGCATGGTAAAGGATTCAGGCAAGAGTGAGGGAGCCTCCCCCAACCCATCAAGGGCCAATTTAGTGACCAATCAGGATTGCAGATGTGACCACCTGACATGGACTACATTTCCCAGGATACCTTAACTACATTTACCATGATGCATTCCCTTAAGGGGACAGCTCTTAATTTCTAACTAACTATCCCAAATCCCATTAACTCTAAACTGTCTGGACAGCACACTCCCCGCCTGGAATTGTAAATTCCACTAACTAAAGTAACTGTATAACTAAGATAAACAGTAAAGAGTAATAGTAACTGAATAGCAGATAACTATATAATTAAAATAAACAGTTAGCTATATAACTAAGAGAAACAGTAAACATTAATAAAGCATCAAAGAAAGCAAAGCATGCAAAACTTGAGATTCAATCTTCAAGTTCAGCCTTTCTCTGCAGCAGCACTAGGTCAGTGACCAATCTGTGTAGAGCTTCTTGGTGAAAGTCTGCTGGTTGCCTCTGGCCGCTGTTTAGGGTGGACAGGTACTCTTGCTTCCAATGGTTCAAAGGGGTGTTGACAAGTGGTTGAACTGGATGTTGAGAAGACATCTGCCCTTGTAGAGCATATTTGTGAATGTCTGGTGGTTGCTGGTGGCCGTTTAGGGTTTCTAAGTGAAAATCTACTGGTCGCCAGCAGCCTTTTAGGATGGACCGGCATTCTTGTTTTCGATGGTGCTAAAGGGTGTCGGAAGGCAGTCAGAATAGATGATGCGAAGGCATCTGCCTGGGTTGGGGCCTGCATCCGATCGACACCGATAATTCCTGAGATTCCCAAGCCCAGGTCTGTCTTGAAGGCAAAGGGTATGTATCTCAGGCCTCTGACTACTTCAGTGTGCACTAAGGCGTCAGGGGCATAGAATCCCAGCAAAAGCAAAATCTTGGCTTCAGGATCTGGAGGGGAAGTGATGAGCCATATGCTTCAGGTGAGGTATGTTGCTAGCTACCTCTGGTGTTGCGATGTGGCTGCAGTCATCTGGTATCGTGTCCCATTCCAACACGGGTGGCAGTAGGAACTGGGAACTTCCATCTAATGACTTTATACAGAGTCCAGTAGCTTCCCTCCCCACCGTGCGTCTTGGTACGGTGCACGTTGATATCATGAAGTGCACTTCTTCCTTCCTTCAAAGAGGTCGAAGAATGCGCTCACCTGGCTAGTGAGCGATCGCTCTGAGGATCCAGTATTACATACATCTTCACTGCTTCTTTTGGGCATCCATCAGGGTACACTTTGGCTAAGCAGATCTGACAACACAAGCGAGGGGCTGGTGTGTTATTGCACGGTGTCGTGCAGTTGACACTCACCACTGGCTCCGATTGTGCTGTCACAGCACGCTGAGGCTCCTTGTTCAAAGGAGGGTTAGGAGTTGTCTGCTGTGGTGGATCAGAGCCTGGATGTAGAGCAGTTGGGTGCTCATTGCTGTTGCATAGATGGCATTGCACCTTGGCTGTGCAGTCTTTGGGCGCATATTTAGATTTGCAACACTTGTAGCAGAATTGGTACTCTTTTATCAACTCTTTCCTGTGGGTCAGGGATTTCACTGCAAAGCTCTGGCACCTGTTCAGCGTGTGT